CAAGCCAATTCACTTCGTGAACTCGGCAACCAGGTTACGTTTTTTTTTTTAACCTCTGTTTGTTTTTTGGCGGTAACCACAATGGTGGTCGAGTAGATCATGTTGTGCGGGGTGGAGAACCCTCACTCCGCGCAAGGGGGATGATCGCACCACGTTGTGTTAAAATGGTCAAGCACCCTCGAGGCAGTTACACAGTGCTTACAACTGTCTCTGGAAGTGAAAGCACCAGAAAATAAATTAAGTCATACGCAGCTGTCATCCGTACGCAAGGAAGTAAGCACAAGATGCCGAAAACCCTTAGCAGGATGCAGCGCACCGATTATGAGACTCGCCGAATATCTCACGGCGCTTTGTGCTTGGTAATGTGAGAGCCTGGTCCGGTGAGAACCCGGCGTGCTCCGTCCCGGCTTTGTAGGGATGCGAGGTCAATGGTCTAACGACTACGGCATGCACGACTATGAGTACACCCCCACCTTGAACTGGACACACTTCTAAATTGTTTTCACAGCTGTTTGACACAATCGAATCGACAAAAAAGCTGTATCGGCCTCATCAATGCAAATATGTGTGTGCCTACCATCCCACAATACAGAGCCCGTCGCGCACGGGATGATGACTACCAGAGGCCCTTGTTAAGCCTGTCATATATCACTGTGTGGACGGCAAGGACTAGACTCCATCAGTCACCGCGTTTTTTTGGCTGCTGTACACGAGTACAACCCAAAGGGTATTTTGCCGCGCCCTCTCGTTGCTAATGTTACCTTAAAAACAAAAACATAACCAGGTCACCCAAGAATGGACATTATTGCATGTTGAGTTTGTTACACACAACAGTTTACATTGGTTGCGCGGCCTGCGTACGTGCATTCATCCCTCGTCGTTTTTGCTCTTATGCGCCTTCAAAGATCCTCCGTGTCGAATCAATAAACTTCGAGGGGGGCCATGATGATGCAGCGCTTGGTTTCCATGTCGTCAGTTTCCTTGATCCTGCTCGCGCACCCCCAGCCGGGCTCTTCTTCGGAGGAAACGACGGAAGTCATAATGCTAGAACCTGAACAGGAAAATTGAAGGGCAGGGAAACAAAAACGTAAATCGCAGCACTCATGGCAAAAGTACGGTGTTAGACGATGACTAGAACCGTGAGCAAGTGGGCTACAACGTTGTTAGCAGGTTCATGTAGACTGCTAGGATTGATGCAAGGGGTACACGAAACACGATTAGCGGTCAGTACTCTCCGTACCCCTTGCTTGTCGGCTACACCCAGAAGACCGCTGTGACATTCAATTAAGAACACTTCCATTCGTTCACGATCTCGAGAATGTCTTAGGTCGCCGAGACCGCGACTATGACGAGGGATGCAGCACCTGGAAATGATGAGAGACAAAGGACACCCCGAACTAACGCTGAATAATGTATTGCGATGTGCGAGCTACAACGAAAGAATTCAAACTAACCCACCGTCGAAGCCGACGTAGTGCCCGGAAGTCGTCGCGATCGAAATCATGCCGTAGCTGCCGACATCGGTCCAAGTGTACTCGGCCAAGTTGAGGGACGTTGGAAAGGTAGAGTAAGGTTTATCGGACGTGGCGGTCTGAATAACGTCCTCCCACGAAGTCATGACGTACTCCATTTCAGAGTCGGAGTCCTCTGGCGTCACTAATACACTCAGTATCACGCTAGCCTAGAAAGCAGAAAACGGAGGGGGGGAGGGGGGTCCGTGAAGGCGAGGTATCTGTCTGAAAGCAGCTCTGCCAGAGTGCCTGGAGGAGAAAAAGTAAACCGGTGAAAATTAAGGATAGGATGATGAGCGGTGATGCTGCAGCCTGCTGTCACCGCACATTTTTGTACACCGGCTAAAGCAAGCAAGTGAACAAGTGGGCGCTGGGGTTAGGAGTCTTGTTCGGGGGAGTTGAGTCGAAGAGGGGATGGAGGAGGCGCGGGTCAACTTCGGAGAGGGCGCCTAGGACAACATCTTGAGTCTACGGGCAGTCCGAGAGGAACTAATAATGTATCTAATGGATATGAAGTAGATGAATGCAGGCATTTTATGGCATGGAGGACGTTGGTAGGAAATTTCCCTCGGGTAGTGGCACCTGAGCATTCTGGGGGAGTCGTCCTTTGTGGCTCATGATTTCCCAATAAAAAACAAAAAAAAATGTGTCGGAAAACAACACAGAGCGATCAAATTTTGATGTTGTGTGTGTCTATTTTTCTTACAGGTATTGCAGTTTTCATTTATTGGGTCAGGGGAAGATATGGCCAATTCAAAGAATAACAAAGAGCAAGAGGATGAACTTACAGGAAATGCTTCATTGTCAGCCATGCAGCCCGCGAAGATGCTGATGGGGCCATTGCTGTAGACCTGATTGTGATTGGACAAAGTCGGTCAGGGCGGTGAACGTGATTGAGCAAGCTGAAAAAGGACAACATACCTACAACTGACCCGGTGTTTCTTCTGTATCATTGAATCGTATCTGCTTTCGAGCGTTCTCTGCTTGCTGGCGGGATGAAGTTGAGGTATTATGAAGTCTCTATCCTTCTTTGGGCGTCCCTACGCTGGTAGGGACGTAGTTACGTAGTTATCACTCTCACCAAACAATGCCGAATGTCTCCACAAGAACTTTGAGAGAAACACCGCCTTTTGCTGTGCTTCTACGCACCGTTGAGTCTGGCGTTGAATTTCTTTCAACGGGTTGCTCTTGTTCAATGTTCTCTCTCCGACAAGGGGTGCAAGGAATGGTGCAGAGAACTCTTCTACTAGATTCCACACCAAATCTGCAAACGACGTCTTCGATACTCGAGCCACCAATTCCACGCTTCTTCTTCACCTCCTCCTGTATTCCGTCATCTACTACCACGCGCAGTAGTTCGGATGTCTTGTTGCAGCAGCTTCCGTTGCCGTCAGACTCCTCATCGCCTTCTTCTTGTTCGCTGTCTTCATCGCAATCTTCTTGGTTGGGTTTCTTTTTGCGGCCATGTTCTCCACGTTTCGGCTCACGTTCAGGCTTGCGCTTTGCTTTGCCTTCAGGTTTGTGCGCAGGCTCGCTTTCTGGATCGCGTTCTACTTCAGGTTCTGCGTTGTTCTCTTCGTCTCCGCCGTGTTCGTCTTCATTGTCTTCATCGCAATCTTCTTGGTTGCGTTTGCGTCTGTCTTTTTCACGTTTCGGCTCAGGTTCAGGTTCAGCTTCACGTTCGTGTTCGCGTTCATCTTCACGCTCTGGTTCGCTGTCTGGGTCGGTCTCTAGGTCATTCTCTGAATTGGGGAGGGTAGGAAGAATCGGCGTCGCGTTGGCGGCGGAAGGACGACAGAAGAAGAATAGGGGAACAATCAAGATGATGACTATCAGACCGGCTAGGTAACCAAAACGTTTGTGTTATGCGAAGTGAGCCATGAAACGGCATCGCCTATTCATAACCAACGCGCTTCGACCCTTTGTTAGCTCTGAACACACAATAAAAGCGACCCAACAAGCTCCCCCCCCGGTGTTTACCATCGGGGTTGGGTTTTCGTCGCTTGGCAACGACGTTGTAAAACAAGCCGCCCC